CATTAAATCGGTCGCACACACTATATCGTCCAATTTATCTGTGGACGTGTTGCTACGGAGTGTTATACATGAAGCACCGCGCTGTCACGCCCCGCTCCGTCCGCTCCCGATGTGTGCCACGCCCCCCTCATTACCTCGTGTTCTTCCCTGATGGATCTCACCTGTTGTTCGTTTCCCTCGGCTTGTCTAGGGTATTTAGTCCTTGTCAGAGTCAGTCATCCCCAGATCAGTCATTGTGTAGTGTCCGTTGATGTTCGTGCCTGTACGTCTGCCTTCTATTAAACCCCGTTACCCTGACTACCTGGCTACGCTCGCCTGCTTCCTGCTTGCCCTACCCGCGAGCGTGACAGCTCTCTACCTTTAAAAAGTACGGCAGTCCAGGCTTGATGAATGGTGGTGTTGCAATCAGACTCAGGGTGAAAGGTGACTGTAGGAATTTAACAGAAGCCAACTCTGCCTCCTGAGAAATTCCACCTAATGAAAAGCAAACAAGTAAAAGACAGGGTTGTGCACTATTCAGAATTGAATTAAGAAGAGCCCTGAAAGTAAATCTATTATGTAATTATTTATGTTTTACTAGATTAAATGACATTCCTGTGTTATGTGATTGTGATTGCATTGAATTTCTTTGAATTGCAATTAATTGAATTCTTATTTCTGTCATTCCAATTCAACATCCAGTGGAGTGTGGCCAATTCAATTCAAATTCCAATTCAAGATCCTGTGGGGTGTGGCCAATTCAAATCAAATTCCAATTCATAAATGAATGGAGCAGAATTAATAAATTTTGAATTTTGCACAGCCTTGGTGGAAGATAATTAGATAACACTGTTTCCAATTATAGATGCACATTTTGAACAAGCTTATGTAAGATGCAAACCTCCTTCTCCTTGTGGTGTTGTACCTCACCTGTCCAATCGACTGTAAAAATATTAATATTCCCAAGAAAAATGGACTACTGTTCCTTACCATCAGTCTCCTGTACTGTGATGACCACATACAGAAACTTCCCATTCATGTCTTGCAGGGTTCTGGGCCCATCGCTGTCCTGTTGTTCCAATGCTTCTTTGGTGTTGAATAACACTTCTAATGTCCCATCAGTCAACTGCAGAGAATACCCAAATAGAACATTATACTCCAAACATATTAGATCACTATGTACTTCAAAATTTGTGTTTTGAAATTTAGACTAACAAATATTGGAAAATGTACAACAAGGACATCAGACATATTCACAAACTCTGGTCCAGCTATGACGAGAAATGGAAAAATTTAATCTGTTACCACTTCTCTTGTGATGGTGTGCGGCAACAAGATCGTGTTGGGTCCATCGATGTAGCCATATCTCAGGAACACGTTTGCAGCAGAGACTGGAGACCCGTGGTTGTACCTGAAATGTAAACCAGTCACAAATCACTGAAGGCCATATTGTGTGCATCTCTTCTTCAGGTCATAATGTACTGGAGTTTACAAATGATTTTATGGCATAAACCACTGTTTCCCAATCCGGTCCTTGGGGATCCACAGTCGGTCCATGTTTTTGCTCCCTCCAAGCTCCTTGAGGACCGGATTAGGAAACACTGGCATGAACACAAAAAGGATGAAGACGTTCTCATACCCACCCAAGAAGCACTGTTACATAGATGTATTACTGTGTGTCTGTCATCTGTGTGCAATATCAATTTACTTATAATTAAGTATAACACTGCAACATTTTGTATTTTTTAGCAAAATTTGTACCTGGCTGTTACTGTCAGCTTAAATGATTCAAAGTTGGCAGCAGAGATGTAGTTGAGTTCTGGTTGAATTAGCACAGATATGCTAGGTAAAACTGCAAAGAAAATGATGCTTGGTGAGAACTAAGAAGAGGTTCTACTGATGCATTCAGTAGAAACTGTATGTCTGTAATAGAAGGAGGCTTATAAAGTGGTTTTGTGGAACATTTAGCAGTAAGGTAATTACTACAAATTGAGTGCACTAATTTTTAATTAATTATGCTAAAATGCAGAAAGACACAGTGTACAGTTCACTTTTTCTGGAAAAAAAATTCTATTAAAATCTAAGATTTATAAGCAATTGATTTAAATGGACTGCTGCAGTGATCTTGGAAGGAAAATGTTTCAACCTAATTAACGACAATGTGGTCCACAGGAAATACACACAATAATAACTGTGAAAAGCAAGTAGTTGCTGTTGATTTACCATATTCCTTAACCTCAAATTCAGCTGACGCCCGTGTACTGAAGTCATCTGTATAAGTGGCCTCAATCCTCCAGACACCAAATCTGCAACATGGATTACAGTGACTCAAACCTGATCCCACTATGGGCCATACTGTAAATTCATTATTTAAAGATGTTACAAACAGGAAATGTGAACCTTCTGAAGCTTCACATTGAATAATGCCATGTGCTACTGGAGCTTCTGGCATTAGCACCGTCACCAGACATTCAGGGTGAGCTCTTACTTTGGTTTTAGGGGGATCTTAAAGGGGGCTGGCATTGAGAGAATACCACTGACATCTCGGTGAGCTCTTACTTTGGTTTTAGGGGGATCTTAAAGGGGGCTGGCATTGAGAGAATACCACTGACATCTCTCATCTGCACGATGTCCACTTTAACTGCCTCCGGATCCTTTGAAAATCAAGTAGAGGAACAACATCAGCAACTGCATCCAGTCTCCACTGGATTCAAACATGATAATCTTGAAAATAAGAAGTTATTTGCATCTGTTTTATTTGCTTTCAAGTCTAAACAAAATATAGAGTTAGTGGTCATTTTATTAGGTACACCTGCTGTTTCAAACAGCAAATCATGTGGATTAAATTAAATACATACAGCATGCAGACAGGGTCAAAAGGTTCAATTTCTAGATGTGTGATGTAAATAACTTTGAATGTAGTATTATTGTTGGTGCCAGGTCACAACTGGAGAAATACTACAATGGTGTGCAGAAAGTCATCTCCAAACGCTCAACTCATCAACCCTGGAAGTGAATCTCATTGGTATTACATAGAGGTACCGACGTATAATGTGGCTAGTGTCATGACTGGGGATCAAAGGAGTTGAGGAGAGGCATTGGGATAAATAAAAAGGGCTTTATTCAAGTCAAAATGGGAGCAGGACAAAACAAAGCAGACTGCAAGGGGTCAAACAGGAAGGCGGACACAGGGAAAGCATGGGAGGGAATGACGTTGATGACAGGACTGGGGTGCACAGGACTTTATTCAAGGACTAATGAAGGAGCAAACACGAGGCAGCTGGGGTGAGTCACATCATGGCAGGAACACAAGACAGACGATGAACAGGTGTGGCTTGTTAGGGACATGCTAGGAAGGAAACAGGAAAGGCAAAAGCAGTGCGTGACAGCGAGTGAGTGTATGAATATTTTCTGAAATACTCAGGAAATTAAGATAATGCAAAACTACATTTTAATTACTTCTCTGTTTTACCATCACTGTAATGTGTGGGTCAGTGGGTAGCACTGTTCCCTTAGGGTTTGAGGTTCAAAAACCTGTGTATGTGGAGTTCATATGTTCACCATGTATTATTTCCTCCTCCAATCCAAAGACATACAGTTAGCTGACCTGGAATCCTTAAGCTGCCCGTTGTGTTTGTGTCCTGCAATAGGTTGGTATCCTATATAAGATGTTCCCTTGATTTATGCTGTCTGGGATTGGCTCTAGGCTCCCTGTCATACTCTACTGGATATGCAGTTTGAAGATGGATCAATATAATGTGAAAGTTCACAATTATTGTAGTTAAAGGTGTATTCCCCAGCTGCACTCACCGAAAACGTGAGAGTGACAGGCCTCAGTGCTGGCTTCAGTTCCTCATTGAGAGAAAACACTCGCACCTTCACTGCATGACCCAGAACAGAAGATCAAAACCCTGAAGCTCATGCAAACAGATCCATATGCTATTATACCTCACAAGGATCTATTGGTGCGATCCACAAATGGCACCTTGCAGCATGTGGATACAGTGAAACTGTCACGCCAGCTCACATCTGAAACAGTAATCCGGGCTTTCATATAGTGTCAAAGAATCAAGGAACAAGCTTCCCAAAAAGGACGCTTAAATTCCCTAAGCTCCCACACACTAACATTGAAATGCTATAAACAAAAGTACAAACCGTAAATTCAGCAGCATATCAGCTGCATACAAAACTTGATAACACTGAAACTTTATCAGCACTTCCTGACTGTACTAATTCCTGAATACGGCTTTTCTCATTGCGACTCTGTCTGACCTGTCTGCTCAGGGTTATACAGCGGCTTGTCTGTCTGGATGAACATGAAGCCGTTTTCACGGGTCACGCCCAGCTTCTCGTCCTTTGTGAAGTCCCTGGAATGTGCCTCCAGGAAGACGTGCCGAGCTTCCTTTGGGAAACTCTCAGGTAACAGCTGGATAAAAGGAGTGAGACGTGTGTCTTTAACCACAGAACAAAACACTTGTTTAGAATTCTGCATGATTTAGATCCAAATACTTAACAATCATAAGTGCATGGACAAAAAGACAATTGTTATTAATCAGTTCAAGTGAAAAATCAAGTGAAACTGAATCGACATCTTAAAATTCTATTAAAATCTAAGATTTATAAGCAATTGATTTAAATGGACTGCTGCAACCTGTCATTGCTCAAAACAAGGACAATGCGATTACCATGACTACAGGTGCTTCAAACAGAAGAACAATAGCTATGTTCCCACAAACAGAGGAGGGTTTTCAGCTAAACATCACAACCTCATTGCCTGGCTACCAAGTGGTATAACTAAGAGGAAACAAATGGGTGGATGATTGACTACAGGACCTAGATTATGGTCATTGCCGTGTTAGCATTTCAGTTAACGAGAGGTGGCTGACAAATTAGATAAACTAATTTAAAATCACCACCATACCTTCTAATCCCTCAGCCTATATGATTGGAAATTAAACATAATTCTGTTCATATTCTACTTTCCAAGTTAAACTGAAATCACGCTATATGGCTTATATCATACAGTATCTATAGGAGGACAATACTGTGCAAAAGTCTTAGGCAGTCAAAGAAAATGTTTATGGCTATTTATCTTGGTAGTACCTGTATATTTACTTAGAAAACAATCAATTTAACATTATAACATATGCAAATTAATGGCAACACAATAAAAATGAACAAGAATTTCTTATGTTCTCCAAAAAGTCACTGATATCTTGGTGACCACAGTGTGTCATTGTGAAATATTCCTCGGGTTTTTACAATGACAAGGCTGTGAAGAGCAGACAGATTAGTGAAGTGCTCTTTTTCACACTTTGACCCTTGTTCGTGAATGGTAGCCCTTAATCTATGCTTCTGTGATTGTTACATTCCTATATTCTATTATTCAGTATAGCAGATCCAGTTGTTTCTATCAAATGTCATTATCCTAGACACTATGAATAGGCAAGAGCCAACCCTCAGTGTGACAGCATCTTGGTGGCGGTTTTCTGCTGTGAGTGTCACAGACTGGGTGGAGTATGTCTCCCGCTTATCTGGGTAGCTCTTGAGGGACACAGTGAAGGTCACACTCTCCTCATAGCCGAAGAGCTGCACGACCACTCTCTCAGTTGCATCCAGTCGTAGGATTTTGGGTGCAGTGATCAGGTACCTGAGGAGCCAGGAGATCATCTTACATGTAGACTTGATGTTTTATGTAATGAAAATATGTTCCATTAAATGGACTTGACTGATAAAAAGCTACACCCTTGTGCAAAGTAACTGAAACAAGTTGTCGTGTCTGTATGCAGACAGACTGTTAAGACGGACAGCACAGTCACATCAATTCATACTCATTGCCTTAGGTACTGCTGGATTGATTAAAAAATGTATGGAAATAACCCAGGATGGGGCACCACTCCATTTGGCAGCTCCAATTAACTTTAGCATGTTTTGGACTGTGGGGGGAAACCATGCAACCAGGAGGAAACCCCAGAATGACACAGGGAGGCGCCCAAACCGCACTAGAAATATACTTGGATGGCTGAAGCACAGTCATACCACCCAACTCTAACCCGACCCGAACAGGCCTGCCAGTCTCTGGGCACAGTGCCTCCTCTGTCCATCCACCCAGCTCTAACCCCACCCGAGCAGG